AATCAGCCCCTCCCCTCTCACCAATCCAAGGCAGGAAGAGGACACGGACACACACACACACACACACAGCTTTCCTGGCTGCTCAGACCTGTCCTTTTCCTGGGGCCTAGGCAGAAAGTACTATGTTCTGGGCGCCCCTCCTTGTTCTTTAAACCAGTACCCTAAATAAACCTTCATTAAATGATTTTCAGTTAAGATCTTCTCAATGTGCTATCTTGCTTGAATTAAAAAAAAAAAAAATCAGATGCTGAGTCAGCACCACCATATTCTCTTGAAAATCTCCGCTAAAACAATATAAGAACAAGTTTTCATAACAATCACTCTTCCAAACTTTAAACTTCTCCATCATGCAGCAGGCAGAAGGTGTTTTATGCTTAAGCAGTATCAAAAACACGCAAATCACTGAATCTTGAATGTGCAAACATAATACTGCGGAACATGTGGGAAGAGAAGCCAGTTTACAAACAGAAACAACTGCTACCCATACTGACGAGAGTAATAAAATCAGATTTCCTCACACCATGACCAACCAGCACAGCAGGAAAAAAGGAAGCTGCCAAAAACTACAAGTCCAAACACCAGACAGATTCAGGAGCCAAGCAGGATAAATTCCAACAGATAAACTATTAGGGCAGTCTGACTACCAGAAGAGAATAACTACCACAGATTAAATAAAACTGTTTACAAGTCTATGCTTTAAAATTATTCTAAACCAATGCTCAGTAGTGGAAGATGTTATAGGTAAATCCTTTGGAAATAAGCAAATGAAAATCTCCTATTACTCTGTGCCTTGGAAGAACTTCCTAGTTAACAAAAACATTATAGGAAACAAACCACTGTGACTACTTGAAGTTCTCCAGAAGTGTGCCTCCTAATGGAAGTGACAGACATGAAAGGCTTCCTAAACTAAGACTTTTAATGTGAACAACCTTTACACCTAAATTCAGTTACACCTAAATTCAGTTACATAAAATACAAGAGGTTTGACTATCTAAAGATAAACAGCCAAGCAGAAATCCTACAATACATATCATTTTGTTTCTTTCACAAAGAACTAAAGGTTTCAGTTCTGAAAAAATGGCCTCCAAAGGCCATGATTCAGTTAAATAATTGTCTGGAGATAATGGCATCTGAGGAGAACCCAGGACCTTGTGAGCAGTTCCAGAGAGGTTCACAGGAAATAGTGGGACATAGGTATGTTCTTGGCTTATAACATGAGTGGTTTTACTTAGTCATTGGACTCTACCATGATGTGCTTCCTCATCAGAGGCCACCTGATCATGAACTGGAGCCTCCAAAACTATGAGTCAAAACACTTAACTTCCAGCTGGACAGTGGTGGAGCATGCCTTTAATCCCAGCACTAAGGAGGCAGAGGCAGACGGATCTCTGTGAATTCCAAGACAGAGAGGGGTACATAGAGAAACCCTGTCTTGAAAAAAAAAACAAACTACACAACTTCCTATGTTAACTGTCCAAGCACTTTACTGTAGTAACAGAAAATGCAAATGGAAAGAACCAACACTTTAAAATATGGACCTTTATCTGGATCTCATTTCAAGCCGTAGGAAGATAGACATGAACCTGCACTGACAGGCACACATGCAAATATAACAGGTGATAGAGGAAATATGAACATTAGCCAGGCATGTATAAATTTTAGTCAGGAAATTCGCTTGGATGTGATGTGGCTGTAGTGTAAATACTCTGTATTTTAAGAAATAGTCTCAAGTGTTTCTAGGTGAAAAACTATGTCTAACCTGAGGAGTTTTTAGAGTGTATAGAGAAAAACCTGTAATCACTCAAGCTGGCTGACAGTTCATTGGGTTCCCGGTGCTCTATTATACTTTCACATTGCTTATTCAGACAATAAGTTAAATATCAATCAGTGTAATCAATTTCAGACAGACTGAACTCTGTAAAAAAATTTAACTTTGTGAGAACCATACAACACGTACATATATACATACCCCTCCCACCTCCACTCACTCAAATAAGACACATTTCTTTCACATCCTAACAGACCTTTCCAGAATCTTGACTGATTCTGAGCACCTCCAGCACTCCTCTAAAAGTAGAGCCCCCTGCCCCAAAGGATCTGCCACACTGAGATGACATCAGCAATGTCATCACCAACTGTTTTCCATTTTGTGTGCAAGTGTGGATTACTAAGCAGGCATGTTCACCTGCACTAATAGTAAGGGAAACAAAATTAAAAATCAATATACATTAAAATGGCAAAAAAATTACAAAGTCTTGCTAACTACTTGGTAGTATACACAGCAAAAGGTACTGTGGAATCCAAATAATCGTAGTGTGTTTGTTCTATAAACAGAATGCAGACTCATACTCCACACAGCTACTTACAATATAAGCTTGGCCCTGTCCCTGGTGCAGCCTGAAGAGACCACCCATCAGTCCAGCTGGGAGGTTCATGTAGGACAGGGCAATAAAGGGCTAACACATTATCTTTGCTAAGGATCTCTGTATCCAGTACAGGATCAGAGACATCACACAAAGCACTCTGGAGAAGTCCAAGTACGGACATACCTGTCCCAGTCTTCATCGGCAGCTCTTCTTCTCCAGGACCGTTCTGCACCAGGCTTGTCAAACTGGTCAAAGTCATCATCTGTGAATTAGAATCCACTCAAGTCAGTTTTGTTAAATTAAAACAGACAAAAGGCAAATGCTAGGATAACAGCTTCCTTAGGAGTCCAGCTTAACCCTGCAGATATATATAAATCTATCAATCATAAATTCCCAGCCATGCTAAAGCATTAGTTTTGTGGGGATTTTTTTCTTTCTTTGGGGGGGAGGGGGGAGCAAAGGGGTGTTGAGGCAGTGTGTCTCTGTGTGGTACTCACTGTCCTAGAACTTCCTCTGTAGACCAGGCTGGCCTCAAACTCAGAGATCCACCTGCCTCTGCCTCACAAGTGCTGGGATTAAAGGTGTGCACCATCAGCTGGTGTATTAGTTGTTTTTTTTTTTTTAATAAAATAAAAGCAGTCCAAAATTTATTAAATACTAGGCATGAAAATACAGTGAAAACAGCCTTTTAAAAACTGTAACTTTTATTGCACTAATTATTTAAGTTAGAGACTCAGAATAATTTTTTGAGCATTCACATTTTCCCAAATAAGTAACAGTAATACTATAATGTAATATATAAGTAGTAATATAAAGCAAACTACATAAAAGTTTTCTATTGGCCACATTTTATAAAAAGTAAAAATGGTCAAACTTTAAAAGGCAACATTTCAACTCTATTTAACTTGCTATATTACCAAGTCTTGCTATTAAGGCAAGAATAGCAGCAGTGGGTGTTCTGCTTTCATGTAAAGTCCTAATTACATAGTTTACACACACATATCTCAACATGGCAAGCAGCCAGTGAGATAGCTCAGAAATAGAGCATTCTTTCTTTCTTTTGTAAAATCAAGCTATTATTTATCTCACAAATTTGCTGGAAGTTTAAATGTACAATATATTTTTAAAACAGGAGAGGCACCTGATAGTTTTATTGCTAGGAAACACTGAAAATGGAAATTAAAGCTTTCATGTAAAGCCGGATGGTGGTGGGCAGTGGTGGCACACACCTTTAATCCCAGCACTTGGAAGGAAGAAGCAGGCTTTATTATGTAAAGTCTCTGAGATGACTCTAAGGACAAGTACCGAGTGAAAGACACATATTATAAAATTCACTACATGTTCAGAGCTGTGGCAGCAAAAGACCCTGCCAGTGTTCCACCTTGCCCCTGGTTCTCTGAGGGTTCAAAGCTCTGGTACCGTTATCCACCCCCAATCTACCTGCTGCTGAGGCTCAGCTGCAGAGGGATTATCAGTGGGGAAGAAACCCTTCTCCCACACCAAGACCCAACTCTGACAGACACCCAACCAAGATGCCCCTACTAAAGAGGCAGAGAAGCCTCCTAAAAACTGGCCCACAGTCAGCAAAGGAATCAAAAAGCAAAGAACAGTAAGAAACCCCGGGAGAAAAAAATAGGGAAACCAGAACCCACAGCCACTTCAAGGTATTACCTCAAATACCCACTTCCAGAAAAAAAAAAAAAAAAAAAAAAAAGACTATAAACTACTGTTAACTAGCAGTTTCCACTGAGAGTGAAATAGTCCATCTTGCAGGAAGCTCCTTAAGAGAAAGTTAAACAACTCAATGGCTTCAGAATGTCCCTAGAACTGAACAGATTCAGCAGGCCCCTTCCCTCCCAAGAGTAAACTGAGACTACAGAGAGTCACTCTCAGACCAGCCAAATTGCAAAGACTCTCAGACCAGCCAGGCTCAAAAGAATCTTGAATAATCAGATGAGAGCAGGTGCAGGGCAAAGGTTTAGGCCAATTAAGTTACTTGAAAAGGACACTTCTGAGCTGCCTGCAGGCTGTATATAGCATGCTTCTTCAAGAACTCAGCTTTTGTGACCTGTCACACAGGCTGGGGCAGACATTAATGACTAAGTGGTCTTTAGGTAAATTCTGCTCCTACACCTCACTCATATTCATATAAGTAACCCACATAAAACTCACTGGTTCACCAAGCTGGACTCTGGTGGTACCATACTTTGGTCTGTAGTAAATTTAGTATCTGGGGTGAGTAGACACTTGTGTGTGTGCATGCAGGTGTGTAACTGTGTGTGTATTTTCCCTCTCCCCAGGAAAAGTCTTATGACACAGCACACATCAAAGAAAGGTAAAACCCTTCACACATGGGAATGGGAGGAAACAGGTAGCAGAAACTGCTTGTGAGAGGTTCATGAAAACATTTATGTAGCCACCACAGATATTTAGGTTCAAGGAATAAAAATTAACTTAAAAAAAAAATTAAGGTGGCAAAATTCAAACAAGCAAAACAGAAAAAACATCAAATGACCACTATTGCAGGAAATGTGGACAATCACTATCCCATGAATATAAACACAAAATGAATACCAGAAAGAGGGTACAAAGGATCAGAAAAAAAACATCTTAAGACATGGCTGAAAACTTCCCAAATTTATTGAAAAAAAAAATGGCCTTCATATCTAGGAAAGCACAACAAATTTAATTTAAAACACAATAAAAAGGCACACACACCAGTTAAAATGTCCCAAAAGCCAAAGGCAAAATCTGAAAAGAAGGAGAAAAGGCCTCCTCACTACAAGATGATGCCGCTCATCACCAGAACCAGGAGTTGGGGGTGCAGAGAATAACAGAACTCAGAGTGCCTTATAGCCTGCAAAACTATCCTTCACAGAGATTAAAATAACACGAACAGAAAACTGCAAGCAAGATCTCTGTGGCTAGCAGATCCACAATAAATGAATTATGTGATGTGAAAATTACTCTGTTACTGTTTTCTGAAATAAGGTGAAAATGATTTTTAAGTTGAGATAATACCGGACAATAATAGGACACTAAATCAATGGCCAGTGTCCTTGTGAGAAAAAAGAAGATTTGGAGATAAGAAAGACCCAGAAGAAAGGCCCATGTCAGGCCAGTGGGGCTTCTAGACAAGCACCATCAGAAACTGGAAGGGCATGATATCAATATCCCCCAGAGACCTTCTGATCTCTTGACTGTAAATCACTTTCTATCAAGAGACCCACTTCATGGTGTTTAGATATGCAGACTTACATTTTCTACCTGAATCTGGGGGAGTGGGGATCTTACCCTTTGTCTGCCATTCCCTGTGCTCTCCTGGGTGTGCACATATATTTAGGTACACTTATGGGATCTCACAGATGCAAGCCTTCCCCCCCTTTTCCATTAAATGGATACTTAATTCTCTAGAGATTAGTTCAGAAATTGTACTCTTCAGATCTATAGAATTGCCCCTTCCTTCCTTTTCATAATTTCTCTTTATTGCTCTGTCTCATTTGAACATGCTGTTTTCAAAAATTCTTTTAGTTTAGGTTTCTTCTTTTGTGGCCTAGGGGTTTTTTGTTTGTTTGTTTTTAAGCAATTTGAATATTTAAGACAGTTACTTCTAAGTGTTTCTGGGTTCCTGGTGGGTGGTTTCTATTTCTTTTTCTCCTGAGAGTAGTTCATACTTTCCTGGGTTCTTTGTACAAACTGATTTTTTTTTTCATTTAAAACTATGTATCTTGGACACTGCAATAAAGTAACAATTCATCTCTCCCATATTGCTGCTTTTACTCAGACAGGTTGCTGTCTATTATATGACTTCCAAACCATTTTTGCAAAGATTATTTATTCTATTCCCTCTTTGAATGAGTTTACTGAAATCCCTAGCCAGCCAGTGATCTACCAGGGTTATCTTTAAATACCTCAATACAAAGAAGTATGAGAAAATTCACCAACAATGCATGGCCATAATAAAAATTAAATAAACAAACTGAATCTGCATCAATACTCTGTAAAAGCATGAAAGAAAATGTTTTTGGACTAGGCAAAAATTCTTTCATTTAACAGCAAAATCAAAACCAATGGAACATCTGACAAACTGAGCACCATCAGGTATCAAAGATGAAGTGGAAAAGGTTGAAAACTTTTTTTTTTTTTTTTAAGGAGCTCTTTCTGGGTTGTGTGATTACAAATCAGCTCTGGCCTTGTAACTGGACTGCTGTCCTGGACAATATGTGATTGAATCAGTAATGCTGTGTTCCAGTAAAATGTTTGTTTACATGAATGGGCTGTCATTACATTTAAATAAAGAGCCCATTCTTTTTCCATTTCATCCTTGACATCATTCTTATGCATTCCTATCCAGCCAGTGAGGGTAACAAAAGCAATGTCAAGGTAGGAAAAGATTCTAAAACTCTTCCAGGTATCAATAAGGAATTCAGATCACCAGTCTTGCCAAGAACAAAAAAAGGATCCTAACAGCCCTGTAAACCACCAGACAAGATGAGCCACATCAAGAATTACAGACACACATAGGTCACTAATCAAAGGTAAGATGTTAACATTTTAGTTCATACAAGCATGAGTCTCAGAATACTCACCCTTAGAAAGGTATAACAGTAGGCCTATTATCACTGCTCTTTTTTGCTCACTACAACTATATGGTAATATCCTAGCTGAGACACACCCTCTGTTTTGGTTGCTGGACAAAGAGAAACCAAGCCAAACTGAGTTAGAAGCCTCATACCTAATGGGTAGCCTTCATAGTGCCAGTGCACAGGCTACTAAGAGAGAAGTCATCAGCAGTCTTGCTCAGCTATGGACCCTGTCTATTATACTGCAGAAACACCAGGCAAAATGTGCCCACTGGTGCCACAATGCCATGACTGCCATGAGGGTAACATACTTCTGAGTGGATTTAAGGTCTGTTCCACAGAAAAGAATTCTTGCTACTACTATAAATCTAATCAACAGGCCATGGCTGCAGGGCTCACAAGCCATAGCAGGGAAGCTATTACTGTTATTTGGCTAAATGGGTGAATGTGCTCATCAAATTGCCTTCTGAATATTTTGTTTGCACTCGTAAATGACAGCTGCTCTCAGACTTTATCAAAAAAAGCTTCTTTTTACTGTAGTTACCACTCACTGGTTACTGCAAACTCATAATTGGTCAAAGTGTGACAGTCTCTGTTTCATGTTCAGCCCTAATGGAATATCTGTTATCACCCCATCCAAAGGTCAGGGAATATCTTAGAAAAGGGGATACAAAGAATG